ATTCCCCACCACATCCCTCAGTGAGAGAACAGGGATGTGATAGGTGACAAATCAGACTGTTAACTTGACAGAAGAACAGAAACAGTGGGAAGTATATGGGAGTGAGGTCCAGGCAAGGAGGATGGGGTGGGAGCATGGAGTTAGGGCAGAGAGGAACTCAAGGCCTGCCTTCGTGGTTTCTAAGGTAGGAGAATGATACAGACAAGCACAGGGCAGGAGACAAGGCACAGGCTAGAGGACATAACAGAAGTGGGGGACAGAAGAGGATAGTAATAAGGCAGAGAAATATAGTAAGATGTGGGGCCTGGTGCAGAGAGAGTACAGTGGAGTGAATGGGGCAGAGGTGTGGGATATATAGGACCAGGAGTGGGGCAGAGTTGTACATCAGGTGTATTGGGCATAGGAATATAGCAGAGTAGGCTGTGTAGGGGCAGGGTTATATAATAGGATGTATGGGGCTGGAGTATATAGCAGTGGGGTTACTGCACAGTGTGTGGGGGGTATAAGGACAAGAAGGTAAGAGGTATGGGGGGGTCACAGGGCTAGGCGGACAAGTTGTGGAGTACACAGGCGCAGGAGGTACAGGAACAGGAGGATATTCTGGAGGGAAAACAACTAGAGGATATGGTGTTCATAGAGGCAAGGGGCACAGGGGATATGGAGCAGGGGATATAACAGCAGGATGGCACTGCAGAAATGAGGGCATATAGGACCAGAAGATGCAGGGGGCACAGAGCTAGAATATTTTGGGGTGCGTGGAGGCAGGGGCACTGGAACATGGGAACACAGTGTGGGTACATGGAGACAGGTGGTATGATGAGAGTACAGCAGAGTGTTGGGGGTGCAGGACTGGAGACAGCTGGGTGCACAAGCAGCAGGAGTACACTGGGGAGGGGGTATATGGTGCAGGGAACATTGGGAACATTGTACCCCACATCCTGCTCAGAGGCAGCAGTATATGGTGAGGCACTGGAAAAACGGGAAGGGGTGTACCACAGTGGGGGTTAGAGCACGATGTGGAGTATGAGATGGGAGGCACAGGAGAATACTGGGGAGCACAGAGTGGGGGTGTATTGCAACAGGGTGCACAAAGGTGTGGGGTAAACAGAGCAGGGGACACAAAGAATGTTGGGGATGCAGCCGAGCAGGGTGAAAGCTATGTGGGGTGCACAAACTGGGGATACACAGAAGGCTATTGGAACACAGGGTGGGGGCCACAAGAGGATATTGGAAGCTTGGGGTGGGAACCCAGGAGGACACGGGATCGCGGTGAGAGCGGCACAGGAAGACAGGGGGAGGGGCAGGAGAACACGGGGGACAGAACTGTGGGGGGCACAGGAGGACATGGG